TATTTTCCGACCATGACATCGTGGCAAGAAGGTTTAGGTTTCCGTTCTGTCATCCAGAACCAGAGAGCAGTCTTGAATGCAATCAAGGAGTTGTTGGCCACGATCTCTGGGTTCCTTAGACCGTCGAACCCCAGCGCCTTTCCGGCGGGACCATAGTTGAAATTCCTGCAATATCACCAATCTTACATGTGAGTTAAAAAAAAAAAAATGATCGATAAATATTCAATTTAATTTTTTTTTGACATTTATTTTAGTTAAATTGTTAAAATATAATAAAAATATGATCAATTTAATAAATTTTTTTATTTCATATGTATGATTACATCTTAATTTGTTTATTTTAAATTTTAAATAAAAATAATTATTTTTAATAAATATATTATAAAGTGCCTTAAAATTAAAGTTTATATCAATCATTGTTTTAAAAAAAATTGCATTGTATACCTAACAAAAACCATTGAACATAATTATAAATACATATGTCAATTATTTCATACTACATCTAACTACCAGTTTATTACCAGTAATAAACTGGTAGTTATGTTAAAACCACACTATATATCAATTATTGTCGTAAGAAAAAATTGCATTGTATACCTAACAAAAAGCATTGAACAAAATTAATTATAATTAAGTACATATGTAAATTATTCCATACCCGATCTAACTACCAGTAATAAACTGGACTAAACTTTGACAAGTTTAGAGTCTAGAACCTACCTTAAGCATTGAGTAAAGGTTTCCTTGAATATGTAGATGTTAAAAATATGTAATTAAATTAATATACCATAAAGTAACATTAAGCATGTAAATTTACCAAGATAGTTGAATGGGGCCTCTGCCTTTGTAAGACTTTCCAGGGTAGCAGGGCCATTCTTTGTTGGTGGAGTCACAGTAGTTGCTCTGGGGACTGACTTCCTCCTTGAAGCAGAGACCCCAAGCATATGGTCCATCAGGCGCGGTAGCCCATCCACCGGATGTCTCATGGGATATCTGACCTAGAAACGCTGCAATTTCACGCTTGCGGGTGGTTAAATTTCCTGTGTTTCCGAACCTTGGAAAACAAGCAGTAGCATGGATGAATGACTCATAAGTGTAAAAATCTTTTGCTGGACATGCATTATCATCTTTGTGTAGAAATATAGAGTTGAAAAGATCTTTACTAATCAAGGAAGAAATGGGAACTAATTTTCGAGCTTCGGCTCCCTGCTGCCATGTGAAGCAGAGGAGAACGAAGCAGAAAGAGAGACGATGAGGAGAAAATGCCATTATGCTGAAAGCTCAGATTTGACTGTAAACAACAGATTTTGAGGGTCTTATTATATAGGCTCATCACGCTCATGCACGTTTTTAACTGTGTTAAAAAAAAATAAAAGAAGAAGTCAAAATATTGTTAGGCGGGGTTTGACTTGTTATAATGGTTTGGTTGGGTTAATTCATGTTGAATATTGTTTTTTCTGACCAATGGGAATTGAGGATTAACGTGAAATGTTGATTATTTTGACTAATCAACTAATGCAGATAACTTTTACGAGTTGAATATAGGAAAGAGAGGGCAGTGTGTGTATGTCATGGTCAATAATGTTGGCATAATATTTTTAGTGTTGAGGGTGTTTTTATATTGAACAATGATAAATGAAATTAAGATATGAGATTAATGACGTGGTATAAGTCATGTTATTTAAAATAATTAAAAATAAAATTTATATTATTTAATAATTAATTTTTTTGTTTTTTTAAATCTATAATATTATATGTATTAATTAATTTAATGATCAAATCATTGATTTTAAATTTTAATTTTTTCTATCATTACTCTTTTAAATGAATTTAACTACATATTAAATTTAATTCTTTTTAATTTGATTTAAAAATAGACTATTCACATTTAGATTTTAAAAATTATCTTCTTACTAATTTCTTAAAAAAATTAACATTACTCAATAAAATGACAAATAAACTCCTTGCTAAGTTAAGACTCTTCCGGTAATAATAGTGGAATGTTGATAGAACGCATTTAGTGGAATGTTGATAAAACGCATATGGGTGGTAGGGATAGACCAATTCTATTGAGTGCTGAGTCAACCTCCATGTCTGAAAAGAATGTCAACGCCCTTGGCAACTTTCATATTTATTTATTTATTTCATATTTAAACAAATATTTGAGAAAATTCATGAAAATTAATGATGTGTTTAATTTAAAGAACAACTTAAATTATTTGTTAGCCCCAATAATATTTTGATTACAAATCATGGTTTCAATGGCAATAGATGAAGGGAAGCTGGGTTTGGCGCCTACATCTACCATCAATGGGGGTTAGTGAAAAGAAGAAAAGGCCAACTTGAATATAATACAATAAGAAATCTCAAATTTAGAAGGATATGAAATTCCACATTCAACTTAAGAATATATAGTGTGGTACAATGATATCATTAAAATATTTCATTTGGATTAATAAAACTTTGCTATTGTCATTTCCTTTTGTCCATGTCAAGCATCAAGAAATCGATCTCCCCCCCTTGTCCAAGCATTTTCCTTCCCATCCTCAAATTTAAATAAGAAATATTTAATTTGGAAGTCTTAACTTAAAAAAAAATATAGTTACTTTCTTGAGCAACACCTTGTTTTCATGTATGTAAGCAAGCAAATCGGGTTTTTTTTTTAAAATTATTATCAACAAAGTAAAAAGCAAATCATATACGTATCTTTTAAAAAATGCTTAAAATAAGAAAAAAATTGTTATGTAGTTCAAATTCTCCTGAATTGCATAATTTTTATTATTAAATGAAAGACTAACTCCTTAATATTAGAATTCTTCTCATCCAATTACTTCTATTTTATAATTTAAACTACAAAATAAAAAACTCTTAAAGTAATCATACATTTTGTTTGTTGGTAAAAAAAAAAAAAAAAAAAACTGGAAAGTATAATCTTTGGGCCTGAGAAGTGAGGCGGCCTATAACATTCCCCACCAAATTGCAGGCCTTCTCTAGCAGTTCATTTACCTGCCTGCTGTAGTCCACCACTAGTTGGGCCAGGCCGAACTGACAAAAGGTACAATTTCAAAACATTTTCCTAAGCATTATGAAAAGCAGCAATGCTAAAGGTACCTATATATATTCCTATCATTTTCGTAAAAGATAAAAATATCAATCACCTATTTGTCAGCTTCTAGAAACCCCATCGTACCAGTAAATATTTAACAGAGAGACGTAGACTTTTTTGGAAGAAACGAAAAATTAAAGTGGTTTCCTGTTGGAAAAGAAAAGCTAAAAGTGGTCCTGTGTGGGACAATCAAGACAAATAAGTGGATGAGAAAGTCCACGAATTGATGAAAGTGGGTCTAACTTGACAAATTGGGGAAAGGCCCATTTCAACCCTTCCCTATCATGGAGTTTTTTTTTTTTTTTTTAAATGGAGTAACGTGGGAGTTCAATTGCCTTTTTTGGGGTTCCCATCTCGTCTCGTCTCGTCCCCATCGAATTAGACCATTCTTCAACACTTTTTCCACACCCTAAATAAGTTAAATAACCCAACTTGTCAATTACGAACTTGTTGGTTCAAATGTCGAGCTCAATTTCTCTTTAATTAATATTTTGAATTTGAATTTTGTAAATAAAAATATGTATTAAAATAGGTTTTTTTTTTTTTTAGAAAATTTGATGTGAATATACTTTAAATTAATTGGAATTTAGTGAAATTTCTAAATATTGGAAATTTAGCACCAAAAAACAACCCAACTTGTATGCGTCAATTGCCTTCCATTTAGTTTCCTTTTCTTTCACCAAACCTCCCCCTGCCTCCATTCACACTTCATGCAAACTTCCAAACCCACATTTGATTAAGCAAATCAAGTGCATGTACGGTAATTGCTATTTTAAACAGATGCCAATTTCTTAATTGAACCCTTACAATGGTTTCCCCTTCATTTTTCCTTTTTATATCTTGGGTTGAGGAACAAATTAAAAACAACATAGGCTTTAGGCAGATTTGATTGTTTTTACAAACTTCAAAACCTTAATTATGATTAGTTTTCTGATATCATCCAGTTGAAGCTCAACTACTTGACTTAATTAGCCCTCAATTAGGCTTGGGTCAAGTAGGCTTGGGTCAAGTTGGCTTGCTATGACGTTAATGTGGATTCAAATATGCAACAAGCACTAATTTCTTCGGCAATAAGGGGAAAAGGGTTTTATGGTTGAATAATATATGTATATATATATATATGTATATGTGTGTGTGTTTTAGACAAAAATAAATTAATAACGCCAATAGCGCCTTATGTTTACTAATTAAAGAATTAGAACCTTAGACTCTATAACATTAAGGATGTGATCCTTCAACTCCCATATATATGAGCAATTATTTTCTCTAAATTTTTCTTTATTTATACACTTGTAGTTGTAAGATGGTTCTAGATCTACACAATTTGTGTGATCATACTTTATATATAGCCTTAATTTTACAAACTTTTTCTAGTTTTATTCTTGGAGTTAAAACTCCGATTATATCTTCTAATTCTCATGGCGATCCATTGATTTAATTTGAAAATAGGGGGGCCCAAAACCGAGTGAACATGTGTCATACGCTGAGCAACAAAGTCAAGGAAAGGAAAATGAGAAAAAAAGGCAAGGAAAATGAGAAAAAGACAATTTAGGCATTGGAAATAAAAATTAAAAGAAAAGGACTAACACGTTTTATGAATATTATTTAGTATTCTCATATTGACCGTATAATAATTGATATTTTTTTTATTTTTTTATACAAAATTTAATT